ACTTTCACATATATCCACTTTTCTGGTTGTAAGGGATGGCACAGCACAGCAGTGCGGTCTGTGGGTACAGACACACAAAACTTTTCAGGAGTTCTCTACCATAATCTAACAGTTGATTGTCCTGTAATATCAGGTTTCTTGGTTCAGCTGGAGGGGTAGGTAGCAGTCGCATAGGCCTTCTCATAAGGATTTAATACAGTGATAATGCGTGGTTTTGGTCTGCCGAATTTCAAATATGCTGCATTGAAATGGGGCCTCTAGCCACTTGAGCTTAGTTTCTGCACAAGTTTCTGCAATGCAGGTTTTCAAGGCTGCATTTTTTCATTCCACACTCCCCCTTGGTTCAGAATGAGGGGCACAGTGCAATTGCTGTTCAACATATAAAACTTTGCGTACATCACAAATGATGAGTCCCATAAAATGAGTGCCTCAGTCAGTATGAATGGCCAACGGTCATCCAAACCAGAGCATAAATACTTTCAGCAGTTTTTTTGCTACTGTGGTAGATTTGTCTCGTTTAGAAAGGTGAGCCTCTAGCCAACGAGGAACATCTCAATTATTACAAGAGCATATTCCAGATTACAAACCCGTCAACAAACTGGACAGGATTCATTTAAAGAACATCTTTAAGATACAGCTGCCTTTAAGATGCAGCCACAGAGAGGAAAATAAGTCAGCTAAAAGATTACAGAGCTGAGGTTCACCATCAGATGCAGTAGGTAAAAGAGAAGCAGAATTAAGAGTGGAATGTCTTTCTAGGGTCATTCTAGAGTAAATAAAAGAGCTTTCCTTCACAACAACAAGGCAGGAACTGAACACAAAACCGAGACAAAAAAGGGGTGGCCAAGAGTGACATGCTTATCCTTGCCGACTGAGAGCTGCTGCTGCAGTTGAGGGTAGATTGGAAGGAGGCAAACCAGCAGTAACACAATCAAGCATGGAGTAGGATCTAGCATGGACTTGCAATAGTTGGAAGACGTTGCAGCTCCACGGAGCTGGCCCAGAAATTTTCTTTGCTTACGTGTCTGCAGTGTTTGAGAGAATGGCCACATGTATACACATCATGTGCCAGAGTCTCCCTGGGGTACTGGGATTTCCTTCTGGTTTCCATTTTCACTCATGTCAGGAAACAAAGGAAAGTCAGAAGGGACCTGTGCTACCTGAATGTCAATTTATGGTCTCTGCTGCCGAGGTGAGTATCCAGCCCTAAACTAAAACCAGAGAACAAAGGGGAAAGAGACAAGACACACAAGGGGTCCTCCTGGTGTGATGTCTCACCTGAGCCCACCATGTTGGCCAAGGTTGGGGTCTTTAGCAAACAGAAAGCAACAAGCCTCCTGCTGGAGCCAGACCCAGGGGAGGGGAGGAGGTAGCTGACAGCTGAGGATAACAGCCCCACCACACGCCCCTGCATTTGACTTATGCCAGTCGTCACCAGTGTGGCTTGTGAGCAGTTTGGTCTGTACTCGTGCTCCCTTTGGCAGCCTGCTTATGGTTTCAGAGTTGTCCTTGAATCAATCCATTCATTCCATGTTCATACTGTATTTGTCGATGGAAGCATCCCAATAATTCCAGAGCACCATAGCTCCTGATTTTTCTAGTACTTTCCTTAAATACACCATTTTATTCATATCAAAGGTCCCTTCTCCTGAGAATGGTTCAGAAAGTCTGAGGAGAATACTTAGGATACTCGTAATAAGCCAGTTTACCTTTTGATGGAATAGATTGATTTAGATTGCTGGGTAACCCGTCTCATTTTTTTTTTAATAAATACTATGAGGTATGTATACCAAAGTTACCTGAGAGCTGTAAGTCTCTGTGATCCCTGCTCTTTTGCCACAGTAATGCCAAGGTAAAGGATGTTCAGACCTTGCCCTCCTCTTAGTGGTCCTATTCTTTAGTCCTTAATAATGCTGAGGTAAAGGATGTCCAGACCATGCCCTCCTCTTAGTGGTCCCTACTCTTAACCCTAAATAAGGCCAAAGCAAAGGAT